CTGTCCAATGCCCGGCATATTTCCCTGTACCAGCAAAAGTTGATCTTGTGATAATAAATGGTCTCTTGCCTTTCCCACTCCCCCTTCAATCAAATATGAAAAAGGATCGTTAAATCTTTAAATTCAAACGGCCTTAATAAAGTAATGCACTAACCCATAAAAATCTACATCTCTAAAGTATTCTGTTGCCGTGGGAACATCGGCGATTTCATTTTCAGCCAATAAAAAGCATGGATAGATGTTTTTTTAACTTCAAGGTTTACCCTAACTCTTGATTCTTGGTTGACTTCTCTAAAATGTTTGTTAATAAAAGTGCTTTTTTTCTGATACTCATTTCTATAATGATATATCTTGTACTTCCTTGGTTGTGGCTACCCGTCTCTAAAGCTGGGGTACTTACGCGAATAAAATCTTTTTTACAAATAACATTCAAAAATAGTAATGAGGGATATAAAAATGTTCTAACTGATAACCATATTGATATTTGTAAATTATCTGATTCATCCAAAGATTGTGGATACTTTGGTATAACAAAAGAACAATGTGAGGCGCGATTCTGCTGTTGGAAACCTTTAAATGATTCCAATGCAAATTGGTGCACCTTTAAAAAAGGTCCTGAATATACGTGTAACGTTGATCCTTCTACGAGAGTGGATTGTGGATATCTCGGAATACAAAAGGATGAATGTGAAAATAGATTGAATTGTTGCTGGGATCCAAGGGAAGATGCTATTGGTGTGAATTATTGCTTTTATAGAGCAAGACCTTGTAGCGGTTATAAAGTTATCAATTCAAAAATATCCGAAAGGTATTTAAACGGTGATTTAGAATTGAGGGGACTTGGCTGCCGTAACTATGGTCCTGACCAGAGGAAGCTCAAATTTTTTGTTGAGGTATGGAGTTTTTCTGTTATGACTCAATACGCTTCGATACACGAATTTATTATTTCTCACTTTTAAATTATTGATAATTTTGATTTGATTTTTCAGCATCAAACTGCAAATCGATTACATTTAAAAATATTTGATCCTGCAAAATCAAGATATGAAATCCCCGAATATATTGTTCCAATATCATCAATCGAATCAATTAAAAGTGATCCTCTTTATCAATTTTCTTATAAAGACGATCCATTTACATTTTCGGTTACGCGTGTATCAACCCAAGAACAAATCATAAATACTGACGTATCTGGGGTAGATTCACTCGTGTTCGAAGAACAGTATTTAGAAATAACATTTGAAGTATGTTATATGTGATTAATAATTTCATAATCTATGCGTCTTAACTGAATTATGTTATTAATATAATCTTATATCCATGAAATATTTTGACATTGATTTTTTTCTTAATTTCCGTGATTACTACCTTTAATAGCTACCGCATGATCCTTACATATTTGGACTTGGTGAAGTAGTTAGACCTTTGCGAAGGGATCCACGTGGTACTTTCCAAACTTTATGGGTATCTTAACTATACTATTGTTTGGTTTTTTAACGCATTTCGCATATAGTCGTTAATCAATCTCTTTGTTATAAAGAGCAGAGACGCGGCGACGCCTCGTAACGAAAACAGTAATATTTATTTTTGCATTTTGTATACACACTGCCGTATGTTGACTAATCATCTTTCCCAATTACTTTCACTTATAGTATATGGTACACAACCATTTTATGTGGATGTACGAAATGGTACTGCGCATGGCGTTGTAAGAATTGAAAAAGAATTGTTTTATTATATGAATTATTTCAATATTATAATAGACATTAATACATTGGTTTGTGTAAACTTTAAAACTAGTTTCTACGAAACTCTAATGGAATGGATGTGACAATAACTCCAGGGAATCCTCCTAAATTGACTTGGAAAGGTAATTTATTTTCACTTTCATATATAAAGTAGAAAATACTAAAATTATATTTCTATTTTAATATTTAGTTATTGGAGGTGTGTTAGATTTTTATTTCTTTCTTGGGCCAACTCCTGCAGATGTGATCGCACAATACACAGAGGTAATTAAATTGAATATTGATTAAATATGAGTCTTTAAATTGATACCTTAAATTTAATAATGCACTTTTATAAGTTGGTAGGAAGACCTGCCATACCACCATATTGGGCTCTCGGTTATCATCAGTGCCGATGGGGATATCACAATGTATGTATATTCGATGTAATTGGTATTTATAATGGCTGAATGAATGATACATTCCTACATTTCGTTCAATAATATGTCAGTTATCCACCCTATATCATGTTGTTTCTGAATTTAAAAACCACAATATTCCTCTTGAAACAATTTGGAACGATTTAGATTACATGGAAGGGTTTAAAGATTTTACTTGGAATTCTATCAATTATCCACGAGAAGAAACTGCAAAATTCGTAAATATGTTGCATGAAAATGATCAACATTATGTGGTCATAGTTGATCCCGGTATAAAAATTGAGCGTGGATATTGGCCATACGAAGAGGGTGTTAACAGAGGCATTTTTATAAAGAATGCAAGAGAAGAAGATTTAGTCGGTCAAGTTTGGCCTGGTTCGCATTAATGATTTTTCTCGTGTTCTATTTGTGTGAGTTCATTAGCATTTTCGGTTCTCATCACCATAAACATCTATTATATAGGATTAACTCATTTTCCTGATTGGTTTAACAAAGATACTGAAAAATATTGGGGTGATGCTATCGAGAGATGGTTACATACTGTTGATGTTGACGGGTAAGATATAGCATAATAAATTTAATTTCTTTAGTTGTATAGCTTTCAACAAAAAAAAAATAAATTTATATAACTAAATAGATTATGGATTGATATGAATGAGCCAGCAAGTTGGTGTAAAGGTGAATGCACAGACAGTAATTTTGTAAAACCAACTTTACCGAATAGTCTGACAAATGATATTCAGCAACATGATGATATACCTCTATTTATCCCAAATAACGAATCCGTTTCAATTAATACCACGGTTGATTCTTTGAATCTAAATGAACCACCGTATAGAATTGACAATGGTGCTGCGAGACTACCATTAGATTCACTTACATTATCTATGGATGCGCGACATGCAAATGGGTTTGTAGAATATGACGTTCACAATTTATTTGGGCATATGGAAGCGATGACAACATGGAAAGTATGGAATGAAAGATTTGGGAAAGGCAAGAGACCATTTATTATCACAAGATCAACTTTTGCTGGTACAGGGAAATATGCCGGGCATTGGACAG